ACATCTGTAATAGTGTCAACAATAAAAAAAAAGCAATGTAACTGCCTTAAAATTCAGTGATCCACTTCTAGCAATATATATCTAAGAACCCCAAAACACTAATTTGAAAAAATATATGCACCCCTATCTATGTTCATTGCAGCATTATTTACAAGACCCAAGATATGGAAGTAAGACAAGTGCCCATCAGTAGACAAGTAGATAAAGAATTTGTTGTACACATAAACAAAGTAATATTACCTGGCCATAAAAAAAGAAGAAAATCTACCCTGGCTGGTGTGGTTCAGTGGATTGAGCACCAGACTGTGAAGCAAAGGGTTACCGATTCGATTCCCAATTAAGGCACATGCCTGGGTCGCAGGCCAGGTCTTCAGTAAGGGGCGCATGACAGGCAACCACATACTGATGTTTCTCTCTCCCTCTCTCTCTTTCTCTCTTTTCCCCTCTCTCTAAAAATAAATAAATAAAATCTTTTCAAAAAGGATAAAATCTTACCATTTGTGACAACATGGATGGACCTACGGGGTATTATGCAAAGTGAAATAAGCCAGACAGAGAAAGACATCACATTTAACTTACATGTGGAATGCAATGAACAAAATAAACACACAAAGAACTAGAAACAGAATTACAAAGACCCAAAACAGATTGATGGATGCCAGAGGGAAGGGGACACAAGGGCGGGGTGAAATGGATGAAGAGATTAAACACAAATGGATAGTTATAGAATATTCATATGCATATGAAGTAAAGCGTAGGGAATATAATCAACAATGTTGTAATAGCTACATGTTTGGTGCCAAGTGTGTACTGGAAATACCGAGGGGGACACTTTGTAAAGTATATGATTGTCTAACTCCTTAGGCTGTACACCTGAAACCAATACAAAATAATGTTGAATGCAAACTGTAATTGAAAAAACAAAATTTAAAAAATGGTTGTCCTTATTTTAAAAGGGAGGAAGTCATTTGGAATTTGACTAGTTAAGGACAGAAAATAAATTACAAATCCTTCTAACTCAAAATTTGGATCTACTGTATTTTTATACCCTAGTGAGTTTCTTTTCATGGATGAAGGTCTTGGTGTCTATTTGTGTATTACTCTATATATGTTGTAAATGTGAGATAATTTTCTACCCCCAAATAGTATTGCTGAAATTAAGTTAAAGGCAAGCACTTTCAAAAAATTGAATGTTCTAAAATTCTCAGAAATATAAAAATTAATTCAAAGGCTTTTCAAGTTTACATGATCTAAGATATATCTTTAGTAAATAAAAGTTAATTTAAATTTGTTGGTTTAAGTAGAACAGATGTCTTTTAAATTATTGATAATATTTATATTTTATATTTATATTTTACTAGGGCTTTATAAAAATAAATCCATGTTAATAATAGACTTTGATGTTTATAAAATGTGTTTCTAGAAGTTATAAAATATTTTCATATATTTGCCAAGGCAAAGAATGCTGATTGACTATCTCTCAGTTTTCAGAAACTGAGATTTTAAGAGTTAAAATCTCAATAAATGAAGGAATAAATTTGTCATGTTCCAAAAGGGCCCCTGGAACAACTAAAAAAGATTTGTTTTTTCTCCTTACAAAAGAGAAATCTTAAACTAATCAGGCTTGTTTTTTCAAGTTGGATTGTATGAGAAGCATTGTAATAAGCGATAGTTTTATACGGGTGAACTGTGGTAGTAAATTAGACAAACTAGCCAGGGTTATGGGAAACCCAAGATACTTACTTTGTTCTTCCTAATTCCCCCTTTTTTCAGTTTTTACACTCTTTATGCATCATAGTGCATTTAAACTGAAGTTGGATAAAGGAATTTATGAGCTGACGTTATTGATAGGAAACATCTTACATATTGCCAAGGTTTGATAAAGTCACTTCAGAAAAATGCCAGATAGGTAGCCACTTCCTTTCACAGCAAGCTCCCAGGGGATTAAGACTCTAGAGTTCACTGACTGCCACAAATTTAGCTTTTCTTGGGGGAAGGACATTACTAACACATTTTCCATCCTCATTGGAAGTGACCTTCTCAGGCACCTGACCTCGAAGGAACATCTACCCTTGTCTCTGAAATTCACCTCCATGTGCAACAGACACCAAAGTCTACTCTAGGATGAGAAGATGCTAACATCGGAGGTGGACAGGTACCCCAAGACATTGATAAGGCCTGTGTACTTACAGACTAATACTGAACTCAGAATCTATTGTTTGTTGTCTTTGTCTGTCTGTTAGTGATATTCGTAGCCTAACAAGCTCAGGGGAGGCCTGAATGACAGAACTTACAAACTCAGATGCTGAAAGTAACCACATGGGATGGTTTTAATGTAAATATTCATAACCCAAAGCAGGTCATGGTGGGCAGTCATGTCCTAGGACTGTAGTTTCCTTGACAAAGGTCAATCTTTACCTTAAGTGAGACTGACTGCCTGTTGTGTTTTTGCATCTAAGATGACATACGTTTGAAATGTCAGAGTCTTCTTTTCCAGACCCCTCAACGCACCACTGCCAGGGCGGGAGCAGGAGACCCCCGAACCCCTCACTGTTACTTTGCTGCCCACATATCATCTCTATGTGCTGTGCGTGTTTATCATTCCATGTCTGCCAATGTACAAGAAGTATGTGTCTCTCCATCTTGTTTTTTATTCCATCCCAGAGTTCCCTGCTTTTCTTTCTCCTGCCCCCTTAATCAGCCACCATGAATTTCATGTAACCCTCCTTGTTTTCTAATGCACAAAAGAAGCTGCAAAACTGGCATTGTCAGGTGCCTTCCCTCAATCTGTTGAGATGTTGCTTCCCAGCTATTGTCAATTTGGCTCAAATACACTCATAAAAATTCTCTACATGTTTGAACATTCTTTATATCAACATACTAGTCATAATAATAGTTATACATATTCTTTGGGTTAGTCTATATAGTCCAACTCTTTGAATACCAAACATGTCTAAGCTATTGACATTTTTATGACTTATGTAAATGTTATACTAGGTGTAAAATACAGAAAAAATGAAACAGCAAGCAAAACTGAGGTCATGATCTTTTACAGAATAGAAATCATCCAAAGTGTGTTTTTTTCACTGAAGGACATAAGACCTGACTGACTTCTATTTACTTGTGCTTCCCTTTTCGGGGAAATTCAGCCTTAACTCCCATCCCATGGTTATACTATTTCCACATCCCCAATGGCCCACTGTCTCAACATTAACCTATGGTCATTGTCACCAATTCAATGCCAACATGGATTCCTAACTTGGGGTGTGGTGAAGAAGAAAATGGGCAGGGCAGCCCCAGGGCCAGGCTCTTCTCCAAATATGCAGCTCTGCTCTGCTCTGGGCTGCTTCACCTGCTGCAGTCCACTCTGCTCTGGTGAGACGTCTTCAGAGATTTTACTCTCCCTGTGGAAATGCAGTCTTCAGTGGAAAAGGAAAGTGCTTTCCCAGAGCTGGAAGAGAGCTAACTTACACAGACAGAGTCCTTGACCTTGGTCCCTGATTGGTCCATCCTTATTCAAATGAGGACTCCAAATCCTCACAGTTTGGTAAAAAAACAAAAACAAAAACAAAAACCCACTGTTCTGGTTGGTCAGAATGGAGCTGCTCTGATTGGTCAGTGACTATGTTGATAGAGATATAACTGTGCAGCTCCAATTGGACAGGAAGGTCTCAATCCTATTGGTTGAAATAGGATTCTAGGAACTCCTTTATAAGTACCGGCTCAGATGGCACAGGAAATAAAGGAAAGCAGTTCATTGCAGGAGGCAGGCAATTTAGTGCAGGTTTTCCCCAAAGTGCAGTTTGTGTGAGAGGCCCCTGTGTAGAGATGGTTGTTAGGCTCTGTTTTTAAAATTTGATGCCAGTTGGCCACAGATGCTCTTCTTAGTAGGCATCTCTGTTGTTGTGGGGTCCATAGGGAGTAAAGGCAGGGGGTATTTATGAGAAAAGTGAGGGAAACAATTACATGAATAGAAGGAAGGAGTTTCTATAAATGCCTATTAGCTAATATAGTGATGCTAATTCTAGATAGTATGTTTAACTTTTAGCTTGGCTTTTTGTCATCTTTGCAAACAATTGTTTGGATACGATGCTGCTTTATGCACAGTCCAAAGGTTATTCTGCCCAGTTTGAACATTCCAAAGGTTTGAGGAGAAGGTCCTGCAAGGTGGTTTCCCTGGCATAGAAGCTCAAATTCCATTAAAAGTTTGTTTTTATTTATCGATTTTTGAGAGAGGAAGGGAAACATCAATTTTAGTGTTCCACTTATTTATGCATTGATTACTTGATTTTTTAAAAAAGATTTTATTTTTTAGGGGAAGGGAGAGTGAGAAAAATCAACGTGTGGTTGCCTCTCATGTGCCCCCTACTGGGGGCAGGGTGGCAACCCAGGCACATGCCCCAGGCTGGGAATTGAACCAGAGACCCTTCGCTTTGTAGGCCAGCAGTCAACCACTGAGCCACACCAGCCAGGTTGGTCAGTTGATTCTTGTTCGGGTCCTGACCAGGGATCAAACCCACAACCTTGACATATCCTGACAGTGGTCTAACCAACTGCCATATCTGGCCAGGGCTCAAACTCCACTTTAGAGTGCCTCTGTTCATATTATTTTTTCACACCTTTGAAACAATGAACAACTTATTACTTACCGTTTGATTTAACCCAAAGTTTACTACTTACAGCTGTCAAAAGTTTTATTGACGTTTGATTTTTTTTTTTCACCTTTTCAATAACTCTTCTTAGTAATGGGACCAAAGAGGATTAAAAGGGCCATGGGACAAAACACGAATTTCCAAGATGGTTCTCGCTATGTCATCTCTGAGCGCCTCGCATCAGGACGGAGAGCCCGGCGCGCAGCTTTATTACTCAAGGGGCTTCAGCCACCCAGCTAGTTAATCCTCGGGCTGCAAACTCCAACCAGCCAAGCCCCGCCCCCGCGCGCTTCCGGCTGGTGTCACCACGCCCCGCGCAGACGGAGCGCTAGGTCTAGGGAGTGCGCATGCACACAGCTTTTCATGGGCTCCTCGGCTCCGTCTAAGACTTGTCCAGAATCTGGTACCGCCTTGAAGGTGGGGCTGGTTCCCAGCCTGGCCAATGGCGCTCAGGGTGAGGGTTGAGGGGTGGGAGGTGCCTGCCGGCGGATAGTGCAAGATTATTCCCTCGTGAGTGCTGGGCTACCAGGTGGTCATGGACGTGGTCTCGGCCGAAGAGTTGGACGAAGAGGAGCAGATGGTGAGAAGGCATCGCAAGGAGAAGAAGGAGTTGCAAGGTGAGGGCGGAGTGGGAACCGAGACGTCACCGGACAGGCCGGTTCTGGGGAGCCTTGGGCTTGGAATCCGCATGGTCCCAGACTTCCAAAGTAGGCAGTGGCCTCTTCCCCTCCGCCTCCCCAACCTCGTCGGACCCTTTACTGCTCTAACCTCCCGTGGCTTCCTCTTTCCCCGCCCCGCCGCCGTCCCCAGCCCGAAGCCCCTCCAGTGCCCGTGTGAGAATACCCCCTTCCCCCGTCTCCCTTTCTTATTCCAGCCCCAGTCACTGACGTTTATCCCTAATGAGTGCTCTTAATATCTTCCCTCAATTTTAAGAAGTACTGAAAAAATTTAGAAACTAAAGTCATTTTTTTGACTACCCCAAACACTCGCGATTATGTTAATAAGACTGCGGGAAGAGGGGAGGACAACTCAACTTCATCTGGGCTGTTCTCTGTAATTGATTGTTATGAAGTTATTATCCTTGTTTACATAATTACCTTTTCTATTGTCTCTCCCTTTATTGTTCCCTTATTGTTCCTATTTCTCATTTCCTCCTAATCGCTGGGTTTTTGACTTGAAGTTTTTGGTGGCTTTTCAGCCAAAATTCAAGGTATGAAGAATGCTGTTCCCAAGAATGACAAAAAGAGGAGGAAGCAACTCACTGAAGATGTTGCTAAGTTGGAAGCAGAAATGGAAAAGAAACATAAAGAGGAACTGGAGCAACTGAAGCTGACTTCTAAGGAGAGTAAAGTACGCCTCTCTTTGCCTACAGCATTTGAAAGCAGCTGCCCACTTCTGTTAAACCGTTTACTATATAAAATTATACACTGGGAGGGAAATGAAGTCAGCGATCATGCTTGTGCATTACCTTCATTATTGTTGTGACCAGGTTTCCACGCGTGTTTAGTAAGGGAGGTCAGCCAAGCAAGTGCACTTGACCCATTTACTTGCCCAGAAGATGAACAGATTGATGAAGTGGCCCAGAGGAAGCTTCAGCAAGTGAGATTGGAAGTACAGACGTGTAGTTCCAAAATTGCCATTAAATATGGTTGTGACCCCCAGTAAAGTTACTTAAACTTCCTGAGCATAAATGTGTCCACATATGATGGTGCAGATACATTTGCTGTTTGTGTAAAGATTTGGTATGAATCAAATGGGACAATGAGTGTGAAATCATTTTAAGGCGTAAAAGTGCTTTATACTCAAGTTGTAATGAATGAAGATTTACTGATGTTTGTTGGGTAAATCGGAGCATACTGTCATCCTTGTAACTTAAATTTACTTTATTATTGTAGCCAGTATGTGTTATGTGCCAACATATTACATGCAATATCTCATAAATTCTCATAATAACACACTATGAGGTACTACCTATGAAGTAAGTGTAGACATGTAGATAAGTAAGAACATTGTCCTGAATTCATAGCATCCATTAAGTGCCAAAGCCAGAGCTTGGGATGAAAGTATTGAATTCTTTTTTTTAATTTATTTTATCTTTTTTAAAGATTTTATTTCTTTATTTTTAGAGAGGGGAAGGAGAAAGAGAGGGAGAGAAGCATCAATGTGTGGTTGCCTCTTGCGCACCCCCTACTGGGGACCTGGCCTGCAACCCAGGCAGGTGCCCTAGACTGGGAATTGAACCAGTGACCATTTGATTAGCAGGTCGGCACTCAATCCACTGAGCCATACCAGCCAGGGCTGAATATTGAATTTTAATTTTGTATAGTGGCGGTAGTTTGTTGCTGGGGTTTGGGATATCAAGGGTCAGACTCCATAACCTCACTCCATATTGGTAGTTATCAAGTTCTTATGTGTATGCAAAATTTTTCTACCATAATTAAATTTTACTTTATTTGGTTTATTTTTGGTCTGCTGTTGACAGGGAAAATGGCTTGTCTGTACTGATTTATGATGGTTGTTATATTAGACATAGTCTTATTTCCTTTAACTTTATTAGCCAGTCATAAAGATCCTGGCCTCCCATGCCCTTAACATATTTTATTTCCAAGTCACAAGACTTGGTGCTCTGGTGACTGCTTTGTCACAGCCATGGTGTACCAGATTGTCTCCTGATTGTTCCTGTTCGTGAGATGGTTTTCTTTGCTCTCTCAGGCTTCTTAGTTTTAAAATTTCTTTTCCTAGGTTTCCAAGAACAAAAATGTTTGACTTTCAAGCTACACATTATCCAACTGTAAAAATGCAGATTGCCTTTCTACTTTGAACTATCATCATTTTCATTCACTTAAGCTTGTTTTCTTTCTAAAAGCTGACTGAATTCTTACATCATTGTTGTCTCGTTTTTTTCCAGATGCTTCTTGAATCTTGCCTATTGTCAGTATGGCAATTTATGCATTTTAACAGATTCCTCTGAAAAATATAATAATACTGATTTCACTAAAGTTGATAACCATGCTTTGAAATCTTAATCTGATTTTGATATTTTGATCATTTAGCTCGCCTTGGAGTATGCTGACTTTGTTGTTATTAGAGGCATTAGTTGCAGTAATAAAATACTAGCTACTAATCCTGGCAGTTATAAATCTAGCATTTTTTTTTCTCCAGCAAATGTATGATCCCCATTTAATGATTAATACTGGTTGTAATACGTTAATGATATTTATTAGTTAAGTTCTATCTATACCTGTCAGTTAGATGGGAAGGGATAGAAGAAGTTCACCTCGTTACTAGGGTCAAGAAGCAGCATCGTTCAGCAGGTTCCAGTTAGTTATGATGGAGAAGGACCTTTGCTGCCCCATCTGAGGTTATGAAAACAGCACTGAACTGAGCCAGCTCAGGACCTGTGTATCCTGTGAGCACTGTCAACATTCAGAGAAGCAGGGGGTGGAGTGGTGAATGAGCTGACTCCTAAAAGAAGTATTTAGATGAATGGAGTAGGCATGCTGAGAAGGAAGGAAAACGTGCAGGGATGAGGGTTATCTTTGAAGAGCCGTAAGGAGACTTCTTGGGAATCTGACAGAGAAAGGAGACAGCTGTGCTGTCTCAGGTTTATCTAGTGCTGTACTTAAATTCGAATTGTGGGATTGCACATATTTATCATTTTCAATAATAATGTCGTGATCTGGTACTCTGAGTGCTTTTTTGTTAACGAGTTACTGCTTCCTCTTTTCTTCAGAGAGATTTTGATGCTGTTAACATTTCAAACTTGGTCCTTGAGAATCATCCGCCTCGGGTATCACGAGCACAGAAGAGACGGGTAAGAGTCGTGTTCCGAGTGTTCAGGTTGGTGCTGAGCTCAGTGCTGTCCAGGTGCCACACGAGCAGAGAGGAGGAAAGAATGATGGGGTCCCTTGTCAAAGGGCCTGAACTAATGTTTATGAAGCACTGGTAGAGTGCCGGATAATAGGTTAGGCTTATAGATTATATGAAATATTTAGTCCTGACAATAATCCTATGAAGTAGGATTTCTTATCCCTATTTGATATAGAGAAAATAGGCCTAAGACAATAGACAATAACATACTCAGTTTGCAGTTCTTATAGAAGGGTGGGCTAAGAAGGGGGATGTGCAAAGGATATTGTTTACAAACATATTACCCCGGTCCTAATAATGCAGAATCTTCACAGTGTGGGCACAGCTGATTCTGGTGCACAACTTTGCTTAAAAACCGTAGTAGTAAGTGCTGAAACGAGGATTTGAACCTACAAGTTAAGCAAGATACAGATGTATACCAAATTCTCAGAGAATTATGTTTCCCATGTAATGGTTAATTACAGTGAAGATTGAGAGCAGTGTTGATGAAAGAAATTCCAAACCTAAAGAAAGTTTATTTTGAGCCAAGGCTTTGGGATTAATTCTAGAAGCAAAATCTCAAAGGATTGAGATAATGCTCCAGGAAGTAGCAGTTTTGCAGTTTATTTTCTACATTGGAAGCAAAGGAGAAGACATAAGAAAAGTTATGTAAACTCCATTGGTGGCAGATTCAGGAGGCAAAAGAAAGTCAAGTAGATCTCTAGGACTGGATAAAAAGTAAAATGGAGAGATACGCCCTGGCCGGTGTAGCTCAGTGGATTGAGTGAGCTATGAACCAAAGGGTTGCCGGTATGATTCCCAGTCAAGGCACATGCCTGGGATATTGATGATGCCAAGTGATGATACCGTCAATATGATAGTGCTTGTGGGAAAAGGGAGGAAAATGGCAAAAATGGTTAGAGAATTTATTTCTATCCCCTTAGTAAATGTAAATTAGTCCTAATTATTATGAATTCACTTTACTACATTGTCCTCCTAGGTCCCCAGTAGGGTCCACATGAGAGGCAACCACACAGTGATGTTTCTCTCCCTCTCTTCCTCCCTCCCTTCCCCTCTTTCTAAATAAATACATAAAAATCTTTAAAAAACATTTAAAGCATGGAGAGATACATGTTTCTTACTTATTGGTGGATAGTTGACATTTGACAAACAGTTTACTGAGGTTTGCAGATCAGACGTAAGGATGAGTGTGGGGTCCCCTGGCCCCCCCGCACCAGGCTGTTGACCTGTCAAGGTCTGGAGAAGAAACCGTTGTGATGTTACAGTGCGTTAGTTACTCTGGGTGCACAAACACGGGCAGGGCCGTTTTGGAGATTAGTCTGTCTACTATAGGCCTGAGGGCGTGACTTCCCACGTAACTTGCTCAGTTCGAAAACTTTTATTTTGTTTTCTTTTTTATGATCAAGACATCCCGCGTGGTTATTTTCAGTTATTACGCGTGTCAGGCTTGCTGGGGTAGCCCCTTTTCGTTTACAGAAGGGGAAGTTCATTGTGTTAAATTACGAGTTGGAATTTAAAAGAAATGTACTCAGGTTATTTAAAGTAGGAGAAATAGCATAGACAAAAATGTGGGGATGAAGTTTTGCATAATCACAGAGCTATAAAGACACTGATTTATGGGAATTAATGAGTTCATGATACCAAAATCATGGGATTGAGATTAGATGGGTAAGCTCTTTCACCTTGAAAAAGAAACTTAAATCCATTGTTTTAGTCCCAAATGTTGTTTTACTAAACACTTGATATTAGTGTTCACAGTAACTCTATGAAGTGATACTGTTTCCCTCCATTTATACATGGGAACCCAGGGCTTAAGAATCTTACCCAAAGTCACACTGTAAATGGGATTAACACCCCATCTTGTCTAACACCAAAGCCCATGCAGTGTTAAATAAGATGCAAAGCTAGGTGCGGAGTAGACACAGATGAGAGCGGTAGTTTGGTGGGGCACAGGGCGCAGGCACTGTTCTCCAGCCGCTGTGGGAGGGCCGGATGCCTCCATTTTCCCCTGTGTGCCCTATTAAAAAGAGAAAGAAAGGTAGCTTGCCTTTAAAGGAGTTCACAGGTTAGAAGATTCTGCAAGTGATGATATCAGTAGGATAGGGCTTGTGGGAAAAGGGGGGGAAGATGGCAGAAGTGGTTTGAGAATCCTATATTTCTATCCTCTTAGTAAATGTGAATTAGTCCTAACTGTTATGAATTTACTTTACTCCATTTTCCTCTTCTTAGGACAGAAAAGCTGCACTGGAAAAGGAGCAGAAAGAAAGGATAGCGGAAGCCGAACTTGAGAACTTACACGGAGCCAGACATGTGGAAGGTGAAAAGCTCGCTCAGATACTGGCAGCGCGACAGCTGGAGATCAAACAGGTCCCGTCGGATGGCCACTGCATGTACAGAGCCATCGAAGACCAGCTGCAGGGGCGGGAGAGCCCTCTGACTGTTGCTGCCCTCCGGAGTCAAACTGCTGAATACATGAAAGGCCATATGGAAGACTTCCTGCCCTTCTTAACAAACCCTAATACAGGAGATATGTACACGCCAGGTAATTCTTTACAGTAATATGTCTTGTTTCAGTTGTGGTTGTCATCATCGTTAACTAGAGTTCTTCCTCGGACGGAGAATAGGACAAGCAGGTATAGTCCTTTGGGTAGAAATGCCTCAAAATTTAGGCAGAATTGTCTTCTGTAATTTTAATACATATTAGTACATTTTGCTTTATTGAATACCTAATTATTTTAAGTACCTAATTATTTCATAGTTAGAATATATTGATAGTTGTACATGAGACGCTGATGCACACTAGGGAAATGCCTCCACTGTAGAAGCTGGTGGCACTTTCTGATGCCGTCTCTGAGAAAGGAATTTCAGCTCATTTGCACTTTTACCCCAATTCTTTTCTCACGGTTTTCATGGTCTTACAGTGGAGCAGGTTGTAGAGAAGCTGCATTTTAATTTTTTAATTTTTTCAGTGTATTCTTTCAGGTGCAGGTTTAGGCTTTAAAGTACATGCCAAGATAGTGAATAAGGTGGCAACTTCGGGGACTCGTTGCTTGAGCTAAAGAGAGGGAAGTGGGCTTGTCGTGTAGTGAAGGTCGTTGGGTCTCAGACGGAGGCAGGGAAGCAGAAATGCTTTGCTCTCGGGTGACAGGGTGGTGGAGAAGGGTAGTGGGTTCAGTTTGGGTCTGGGAAGTAGATTGAATTCTGGAGGAGAACAGGTGGAGAAGAAGGAAGAAGTTTCTAGCTCGTGCAGTTTCATCAGGAATTGTGGGAGCTCTAAGGAGGGGTTTTGTAATAGGAGTTAAGAAAATTATTAAGTGCAATATTCTGTCAATTCTCTACAGAAGAGTTTGGAAAGTACTGTGATGATATTGTGAACACAGCTGCATGGGGAGGTCAGCTTGAGGTAAGTTTATAATTATTTGTGGTGATTGTGGATTGTTAAATGATTTCCAAATCCCATCCGTAGTATTCAGATACTTTTCAGATGATCCCAATTTCTCTCTGAAGTTTCCTTTTCTTTACACAGTTGCTATTTCTCTACTGACAAAGCACCGAAGTAAGGAGTTAGCATTCTCGGGCATTTCAGTGTGTACCTTGAGGAAGGGGAGCGGTATTTCATTTTAAGTAGCCCAGTTTTCGATACGGGTTGGTGAGGCCAGGGTCACATCTGCATATGTGTTTGCATTTGTCATGCTGCTACTGGATGCATATTTGATTTTTTAAACTTATGAATGTGAAGATTTTACTTCACTACAGTAATATTTACCCTAATGACTCAACTGATGAAAGTCAATACTGGGAAAGTAACATATCCATTACATCAGATACAACAACAGTATTTTTATGTGAAATTGCAGTCAGGTCCTACCACACACATCTGTTACAAATGTGTAGTGAATTCCTCGCTGATAATGACTGAATGACTTGAAAGCATTATTGATGCATTAAAATGCATGCATTAAAAACAATATGTTTTGTCCCAGGGAGTTTAATCAATATATTTTTTTAGCTCCAACTATTTATCTTACTTCAGTAACTTGATTACAATAAAACACCTAAGTGGTGATGAGGCAGCCTGGGTTATTAGAAAGTCAGGAGATAAGAGGGGAGGTTTGGGGTTTAGGTCCTGTCTTTTCCTTCCACCTTTTCGTTTTGTGACCTTGTGGGAGTTTGTCAAACTTCCGAGCTCATTGCATGGGGATATCAAAACCCCTGGGTGTAGGTCATCTGTGGGCAGTAAATAAGGCAGGGAGTATATGCATAGACGTCTGTAAATGGCAAATGAATCTAGCAGTATTATTAATACTATGTAGTGATGTGCTGGCCAGTGTGGCTCAATTGGTTGAAGCATTGTCCTGTTCAGCAGAAGGGCACAAGTTCAATCCCTGGTGAGGGCACATGCTTCCGTTGTGGGTTTTGTCCTTGATCAGGGCTGATGTTTTTTTCCTCCCTTTCTCTTTCATGCCCTCCTCCCCCCCATTAAAACACACACACACACAATAGTATGTCCACAGGTGCAGATTTAAAAAATATATATTGTGCAGTGAATATATTAGTCATCTTGAGTAGTTTGTGGCTCTGAGTCCTTCTTCACTTGAAGAACTGTGTTCTTTAAAGGTATGACATAAACGTTTTTTCAAAATCTGGTTTGGAGTACCTCTTCTGAGCCACCAGAGGGAACTGTCCATTCCTTTTGTGGGCCTCTGCTGGTTCTCTCCAACTCAGGAAGTTTCCTGGTAGCTTTGCAATCACATGTGGGGTAATTAAAGATACTTGAACTTTCTTTTAAGGATCCCAAGTTAAAATGAGAATTAGAAACCTCTTTCTAAATTCAGAGAAACCTTTAAAAAATCCTTTGAAGGACATTTCTCCTAAATTGTTCCTCTCTGAAGCCATTTGAAATAAGATTTGCTGTTTTCTCAATGAGGTAAATTTAAATTATGATTGATAAAATCTTATGATTTCTGAAGCCTGAGAAGATTTCTAGAGCTTGCTTTGTACCCTTCATTCCAAGCCAGCTTTAAAAAAATTGTTCAGTATGAGAAAAAAGTGCCTCAAAGGAACAGTTTATGAGATAGAGCATGAGATTAAGTTTGCCACCGTGAAAACATAGGATCTTTTTCATATTCCTGAAGTAATTTCTTTCTTTCACTTAAAACCTCCTAAAAGGACCATGTTTTGGATGGAGTGATCTTTTAACGGGGCAAGTATATAGATCAGAGCCCTACATTAGAGACTGTTAAATGATTGCTTTGTTTATGAACTTCCTCAGTTTGCAGATCACTTTATTCCCTGGTGCTTGACCTCAGGCCTCTTGCCCTTTCTCTGCCTCAGATTCTAGGTTTTTAAAATAAGTATAACAGTCGTGCCTATCCCGTGGGGTTATGTGAGGATCGTATGCAGTAATAACTATTACCCATCCAGCTTTATGCTCTAATTTTATGTTTTATGGTATTCAGTTACTTAAACTTGTGCACGAATTAGAAGGAAATTCTAGGAAAGGGTAGCACGATCCACACCTGTGTCTTCGTCTTGTTTGGGCCTTGAAGAGAAGGGAAGCAGCACCTCTCAGCACCCGCGGTGCGTTCGTGTCTCCCGAAAAACTTTAGGGAAAACAAACCTCCCATTCTGCGCTGTCTCCTCTTTTTCCCTCTCCCCCTCCGAAATTGTAATTGGTTTGGCCTGGCGCTTTAACAATAAAAACTTTTGATTATGGAAATTTTCAATTATATTCAGAAGTAGAGAGCCGGGCATAATGGACCCAATGCACCTATTCCCTCATTTTATTCAGTGGGACATTGATATTTCAAGAAGCTCTTGTGTAGCCAGGGCCTGAAACTTCTGCATTCGATTTAATAAATATCATATTTATTTGTTAACGTGACAAATTTATATTAAGTGCCTACTGTGTGCCAGGTTCTCACTGTGTGGTGTGAAATAGAGAATCAGTAGCTTAGGATTTCAATAAGTTTTACTTTTTTTTCACTAATACGTTTTCTTTCCTATAGCTGAGAGCCCTGTCTCATATTTTACAAACACCAATAGAGATAATACAGGCAGATTCTCCTCCTGTTGTAGTTGGTGACGAATATCCGAAAAAACCATTAATACTTGTGTAAGTACCTAGAAATGTCTACTGTTATATTTTTCATTAAGACAAACAGGATTATTAAAAGACTTCAGGTTGATTAATTTAAAAAACTATTTTCAGTGGAGTTAATTATGTTTATGTTAAAAGCAATTAGAGAATTAAAAAACATTGTCAAAATATGCGATTTGGATAGTTTGAATTTGGATAGTTGTAGTGATTTATTTTTGCATATGAATTAAGAATAAAGTCATTTCTAAAGGTTAGAAAGTTTTAGAATTAGTTTGCTTGTTGTCCTTGGTTTGCCATTGAAACTGCTAAAAAGTTTTAACAAATCAAAAGGTGAAATTTATTCATGATGTCTAGTTGTTTATTCCTTAGAGAAAGTATTTTAAGTGATTGAGAGTTCTCCTCTGAAACAGCATGGAGAGTTTGCTACTGGCTGTTAGTGCTTACTAGCTAATCCTCCTAAGGTGGTCATGAATGGCCTTTTAGGTAAAAAATTTCAGCTTACTGAGCACTCAGCATTTCCATCCTTGTGTTTCTCCTCCAGTGATTGTGCTTTACCTGACTTATACTCAGCACGGGGTAGAAGGTTTTCACATGGTGTTGAAGTTTTAAGTAATATGCCTATGTAGTTTATTAAATGGCAACCTTTGTGGAGTTATTCATTCACAGTGCTTGGCTTTATATGCATAATAAGTACTTGTATATAAGGAATTACCTCCACTAAAACCATTCCTTTTTTTTATTTCAGATATATGAGACATGCGTATGGCTTAGGAGAACATTACAATTCTGTTACATGCTTGGGGAACAGAGCTACTGAAAATTGCAGCTAGTTTACAAAATGTTGCACATTGGTGTTTTAGTACAGCGTGCTGATATGAGTATTCGTACCAAGTGCTGGATTGTTCTAAACATTACTGAAAAACACAACTACCTTAAATCAGTTTTATGACAAAGCTGCTAACAAGTTTTTTTAAAAAATGTCAGAGATAAACTTTAACCAGTGTCACCATAGTGGTATTTTGAAAACACCTATGAGTGCATTGTGGAGAACATCACTCATAGACCAAGATGCAACCCTGTTTGCTTTATTAATATAGGATCCTGAACATTCTGTTGAAATAAATCTTAAATGTTTAACTAAAAGCTTTCAGTAACCATGTCAGTGTAATTTTTCTTGAAGGAATGAGATGAATCAGTTTCTTTGTCATTGCAGTAATGATGGGGTGGTGATAGCAGATTTAATCATGCCAATACATGAACTTGATTGACCTTGGCTGGGTGGCTCAGTTGGTTAGAGCATCATCCCGAATGCCAAGGCCGTGTGTTTGAACCCTGGTCAGGGCACATACGGAAGCAACCCGTGCATGCGCGAATAAGTGAAACAATAAATCGATGTTTCTCCTTCCTCTCTCTAAAATCAATAATAAAAATAAGTAAATAATAAACTTGATCGCAGTAACCTTGGCATAAATGGGAGTACTAATGTGAAACTTTTTTTATAACCCTACCAAAGTGAAGCTAAGAAGCTTGTTTTAATGATTAAGAATTGTAAAATGTTTTGTCCAGCTGAGAAGCAGTTGTTAACCTTTATGAAATGAGGCAAATTCAAAGGTAAATAGGTGTTTCTTATTCTATTTAAACCTCCTAAGAATTACATATTAGCCTTTTATTTGTGTGTAATTTAAAGACTCAACAAATTACCATCTAATTCATTTGTTACTACTTGCTGTTTCCTAGTGCAATTTTTGTTAAAAATCATTTTTTATTTTTAATCGCAGTTGACATACATTATTATTAGATACAGGTATATACCTTGGTGATTAAACATTGAATAACTTAATAAGTGATCATCCAGGAAATCTCTCAGCCATCTGACAGCATTCATAGTTATTAGATTATTAATGACTGTATTCCCTATTCACATCCCCATGGCTACTCTGTAACAATTTGTACTTCTTAATCCCTTCATATTTTTTGCCTGTCTTCCAAGGCCCCTCCCAACTAGCAACCATCAAAATGTTCTCTATGTACGATTCTTTTTCTGTTCTACTTGTTCATTTTGTTTTTTACATTCAGTTGTTGATAGATACATATTGCCTAATTTTTTTCAAAATTTTGATCTTAAAGAGGATGCTTTGACATTTTGTGTAACACTGGTTTGGTGGTGATGAACTCCTTTAAGTTTTTTTCTTGTCTGAGAAGCTCTTGATCTGTCCTCTGATTCTGAATGGTAGCTTCGCTGGGTAGAGCAATCTTGGTTGAAGGTCCCTGCTTGACAGTCTTACAGACATTTTCCTGTAGGTGACTGACTGCTTTTCTCTGGCCTGTTCTGTAATCCACAATCTGAAATTTATAAAATAATGGAATTATAAAATACTAAACACCTTGGCTTTATTTTGAAGTAATCTGTTACTTTAAAGGATAAGTATTATGACGCGTAATAAAACAAGGTATTGTGAAACCTAGTAATTATAAATTTCATCTATATTTAAAGTATTGGAAAATATCTTTTTAGCAGCTATTTTTTTCCTAACAAGTGGCATTTTCTTGATTATAGGTTTATTTTTATTTTTATTGTTTTTAATTTTTAAATGGTCAATATTGTTATGAACAATATTTATATGGGTAGCTTCTGTTCATTCATAGAACTTCAGATAAAAACAATTTGAGTCGTAACCTAAAACTACAGTCTTTAAAAAATGGCAGATATTAATTTAAAAGCAGGTATGCTAGTTCAATTTGCTATATGATGATTTCATAAGCTTTATTTTCATTAAGCTTTCTTTTTTGTCATAACTCAGAAAGAATGTTGGAGTTCTGGAATATGTGTTAAGCCAAGAATTTTATCCAGTTAAATATGTTTACAACTTGTATTAAGCAAAAAAAAAATAAAGGAGTATGTATAACTATAGTGAACAATATTGTTTTGTTCATATTATCTGTTTGCCAAAAGAAGAATAAAAGATGAATTAAATGAACATTTGTTCAAATTGTTATTCATTAATAATCTTAGAATATTGAAATAGAGAAAACTCATTTTGTTGTAGAATTTTATCCAGCCTTTATATTGTCTTCACGTATAATTGAAAATAATACAAAAACATATCCTTGCATTTAAAAGATTTGGAATAAATGTGTTATGCCCCAAACAGATTTAGCCTGTTACCACTCTAGGAGGCCTTAGGTAAGGATTTAAAGGATTGTGAGGAAGACAATTCTGGAACCTGGAAGAAGGACGACTCCTGTTGGTAGTAGCTGAAAGTTTAGTGATGACGCAACATGAACACGGAAAATAAAAGATACATCATCAATCAGATGATCTAGCCAAGGAGATTTGGAGACAGCATTGAAAGTCCTATGTGGATTCTTGTAGTTGCCTAATAGTGAAAGAGGAGAAAGGCAAGCGGAAGTAAGAATTATTAGATATAAATGAACCACATATTTTGAGCTTGAAAAATAAAACTCAGCTCTAGGCTCTCCAGACAGCAAATTACGCTAAAAGTAAATGAGTTACAGACAGAGAGCTAGCTGATCAGGGAACTGTCAGGAAAATGAAGTCTAAAGGTGAAGTCACAGGCATGACTCCAAAACACTTTAAGACCTCAGGAAGATTAAAGATGTTTTCTAATGAACAGATGAGAGAGCTTCTAAAATTATTATTCTACAGTGGTTTCACATGGGAACCCAAAATAGAGAAGGGATTGCAAGGAGACTGTGGGTGTGGCTTTTGTCTGGTAGAATGAAATAAACTTGTAAGATAAATTTTGGAAGTTCTTAAAGGAATATCAGTTTTGGATCAAAAGTGACAGTATGAAATGAAAAGATGGTCCCTCATAACCTGCTGGGGGATTGTAAATAGATTCAGCCCCTTTGGGACATGGTCTGGCAGTTCTGAAGTTACCATATGACACAGTAATTTCTCCCTAGATATGCAATCAGGAAAATTGTACACAAGTATGCCTGGCATTCTTTGTAATAGCCAAAAAGTAGAAAAAATTTAAATGTTCATTAACTGATAAATGGATAAGTATTTTTAGACCATCAAGGAGAAAGACATACGGGTACGTGCTATCACGTGGATGAACCCTGAAAGCATTATGCGGGTCGAAGTCAAAAAAGACCGCATATTGTCTGAGGCCATCTATATAAAATCTCAAATAAATCTGTAGGTAAGTGGTTGCCCCGGGCAGGAATGGATGGGAAGAGTGGGGGAGTGAGTGCTAAAGGACACAGGGTTTCTGGGGATAGTTTATACCAGTGAATATATTTACCCATTGAACTATATATACACTTTAGGTGAATTGTATGCTATGTTATAATGCAAAGTTGTTACCTGCCCCCCTGCAAAATTCTTGAGTTTCTATGAATAGGAAGCTGTCAAAACTACTCACTAAACATGGTCTGTGTGTTACAGAAAAGAAAGAATAAGTCAAGAACTCGGGAACCAACAGCCAGTCTTAGGCAGTAGGACTGAACACTAACCAAGGTACTGACAACATGGACCTAACTGGGCTCCAGAACTGCTATGAACCAGTGACTGTTTTGTGCCTCTTTTTCACTTGTTTGAATGGAACTATCTATTGCCTGTTCTATGTTCCACCCGTTGTTAAATTCTGGGCATATGGGGACAGATAACTGGTTTTCTCAGTTCACAGAACTTCAGATGAAGATAAACTGTTCTTGAGTTGAACTCAAGGAACTGCCCCAAGGAGCACCATCCACCTTTGTACCTGATTTAGATGACAGCATCTGGAGACATGGTGCTCTACATAGATGAAACTTTTGGGGAGAGGGGGCTCTTGGGAGAAAGTGTCACTATTGGGCGTATCGGAGGAATGTAAATGACCCATGGCCCGAGGGTGAACTATAGTAGCTTTTAAAACATGTCCACTTAGCATCAAGAAGTGGTCTGATTCCTTTTTCTTTGATTATGGGCTAGACTCAGTGACTTGCTAATAACAAGTAGCATGTGGCACGAGTGATGTTGCATGATTTAGGAAGACGGGTCATGAAAGTGATAGTCGCTTCATCTGCTTCTCCCTTGGGATGCCAACACTTTGAACCAAGACCTTATATTGGGAGGAAGCTCAAGCTGCACTGGAGAAGCTACAGGGAGGTGTTTTGGCCCTAAGGTCCCAGCCAACAACCAGCACCTACCATTAGATATGGGTGAATGAGCCTTTAAATGATTTCTGCCTCAGCCCTGAGCCACCCCAGCTGTTGCCAAGAGACACTTTGACAAGGTGTCCTCACTGAGCATTGCTCAAACTGTAGATTTGTGAATAAAATATTTTAAGCCACTAAGTTTTACAGTGGCTACCTAGTAGTAATAGATCATTGGAACAGGTGATATTAATAGGATTGAATACATGTTGGGAGTAAGAGTAGGAGGAATCAAAAATGCTTACCAGGTTATCTAGGTTAATCAAATTAATAGAAAGCAGTGTCAGATTGTAGTGGCCTGCTCACCCATTTAAAACAAATTACTAGCGTTTGGAGAGTTTCGGCTGAGGTACTGGCCACACAGTTACTTAGAAGATAAGTGTCCCATGGACACTCATCCACGAGACACTTTTTAAACCAAAGGTCACTTTGCTTAGATAGTAACAGGATGGTTGTTCTTAGAAAAGTAAAATATTATTTAAATAAAAAGTTAGAAAATAGGATCGGAAAAGAAAAGACAGAACAGTGATTGCATGATCACGCTCTTGTTTTACTGTTATGATATTGATGTTCATTATAATACTCTATAAACTGGATGATTCTTCTTTACGACTTTGACAGTTGCTTTACCCTCATACTGGAAAAGCCCTTGTTTCTAATACCAACTGGTCAGCTAGACTTTCTCTGGTCATCCTGTGTAAAACTGCAAACTCTTTATTCCCACTCTCCCTATTTTCCTTACCTGCTTTATTAATTTTTTAAATTCCTTAGCACTTAATACTAACATACTAAATTTACTTATATATCTTGATTTTTTTCCTCCCTTACTAGAATGTAATTTCAGTGAGAGGGATTTTTGTCTTTTTAATTCACTCCTTTATTACTAGTGCCTGGAACAGTATCTAGCATATAGCAGGTGCTCCTATACATTTGTTGAATAAATGAATTAAGTGGTTTTTGAATTACAGGGAGGACTGAATTATGTTCTGAATATTTTCAAATCAGAATGTATTTTACACTATTCAAATTTTTTGCAAATCAGCAATCTAAATATATATATTTATTTATTTATCTATAAATATATTAAATCTCAAATGCCTCCAAGCCTTGTAACTGGGATTCTCATAGTAATCAAATGTCACTGGCTTCAGCTCCTCCCTCTTTCTCTTGTTTCTGTCTTTGTCAATCTTTCATTTGGAAATTTTCAAATATATACAAAAATAATGAGAATAGTATAATTAATCCCTAGGACTCATCACTGAGCATCACTGCTTTCCAATGTTTGCTCAATCTTGTTTGATTTACTTCTTGCACTGCTCCCTCCCCACCCCCTATCCTCTCCTCCAATTATTTTAAAGGAAATTAAAGACATGAAATTTCACCTGAAAACCTTAGATACATTCCTAAAGGTTAAGTCCATTTTAAACAAAACACTACCAGCATTCTATTACCACGCATAACAGAATTAGCCATTTCTATCATCTAATACCCCAGTCTGTGGTCAAATTTTCCCCATTGACTTCATGATATATATTGTCTTCAAACCAGGATCCAAACAAGTTTACATACTGCATTTGGCTATTATTTCTCTTAGGTCTCATTAATTTCATACTAGTTCCCCCTTGTTTTTATTAATGTCACTGATTCATTCATTAAACCTTGTGTTATTTGCTTTAGAATACCCCATGTTCTAGATTTGGCAGACTACTTTCCTGAGATGAATTTAGCTTGTTCTGTAGTCCTTATATTTTCTGTCGTTAGGTCAAGAAACATGATTAGATTCAGATTTAGTTTTTTGACAAGAATAAAACTTTCATAGGTGGTACTGTATACTCTTTATTGCATCACATCATGAGACTTATAATGTGATTAATGGTCTAAAATTATTTAGTGAGTTATTAGTCTGATTATAAAGTTCCTTATCAACCTCTCACCTAATATTTTAGCATCCAATTATTATCATTGTATGTCTCATTATTTCATTAGGATTTGCTACAATGGTGATTTTTCTAAATCTATTTTTCCTTATTTATTAGTTTCAGGTGTTCTTTGAGTAAAAACTCTTTATACTCTTAGGTTATGCTAAAATGCACTGTATACTGGAAAAGCAAAATAAATGCTTCATTTTTTCCTTTATCAATTTTCAGGCTCAGGAATCGGTTTCTTTGCAAGTCCCAATGTAATCAGTAAGTTTCTTTCATTTAAAAAATACCATTATGAACTCTTAGGTGTTCATGTATTTTAATGTGTTTCTGTCCACTCTTGCTTATTCTTCCTGATCCTCAGATTTTGCTATGTTAGGCCAGTGGGAGTCCTTATAAGTTGGCTATGTCCTTTTCATGTGATCTCATTATTCTTTGATAACTTCCTTGTCTCTGTGGTAAGATATCCTAGGCTCGTCTTGTACATTTATTACCCCACACCTGGAATCAACTATTTCCCCTCCTTACCTTTTAGGCAGGAAACTGTTGGTGCCTCCCACCTTCCACATGGTAGATCTCAGAATGTTTTTGCTTCCATGACACAACAATTACGCAGTTAGAATTTCTAAAGATGCACAGTGAGGAACTGGACCCTTAGTGGTTACCTTCTCCTTTTCCTGTTGCTCTTCCCAGCCCATGGCTGAAAGGTTGCTAATAAGAGCACTGAAGGGTGGTGAAAGCACTAAGATCATTACCTTGAACGGGAAGAAGTTGACTAAGATGCCCTGTGCGTTAGAAAAACTGCCAGGACTGAGGACTCTACACCTTCAGAATAACCTAATCTCCAAAGTGTGCTCAGAGGTACACAACTTGACCCAGGTGAGGAATAGTGTATCTTTTTGGAATGAGAATGCAGAACAGGAGAGAAAATAGAGAACAATAAGGCTTTGATCTGTGGAGATTTAGCTTCTTGAAGACTTACTGTGGAGCTTTGTTACAAAGACAGCGGGAGGCTTTCTCCCTCAGGGGATTCCATGTTTTGGGGGAAAAACATGTTTCAACTTCCCCAAGTTCTCTTTGACCCACATCCGGAATCAGAGGATTAGGTCTCTGCCACAAAAACAAAGATTTGTCTTTCTGGAGGTTGTCTTCTGGAAAGGCCTGGGAGTCCGGGTTTGAGGACCACCCAGGTTCTGTTCGCCCTGAGGACTATTCTGAAGCTTTTGCATATGGAAAAAAGAGGCATTTCTGGTACAGGAAAGGGGATCCTTTAGGTTTCCTGCAGCAGGCTGAAGTTTGCAATGAAGTGTTGGCAGGGAATGGGAAGGAGGGAGACATCTATTTCTTCTGAAGTAGTTTTAAATCAGTTAAATTCATTATTAAAAGTAAAGTACAATTTATTTAAATAAATTCTTTCAGGACAGCGGTATTTGGAAGATGCATTTGGTATTGTATTGAACTGTGGTCTCAAAGATTCCACAGATTTTTTTTTAAAGGTATTTATAAGAATTAGCAGAGTGAGCCAAAGTGCTGCTATTCCCCATATACCTTGGTCACACACCTGTTAGTTAGAAAAATGCAAAACCTTATTATTTTTCTCATTACTTTCAGTTATTTTTGTTAGTTTGCGGAACCAGATGCTGTATTGTGTACTATGTAGGTATAACAAATGGGAATATTCACTGTCCTTAAGCAATTTAAAGATTAATATTCCAAATACTAGCTCAAACATATTTATACATGTTATTGGGAAATTATGTAATAGTTTGTTCCAAAATGGTATCATTAAGTCACGATTTAGTTCAGAGGACTTCCAGCTTGTTTTTTTGATACTTGCAAATAATTTTTAGCCAAGTTAGTCATGGATATTATTTTTAAAATCACACAAATAATTGAAAGATATAATAAATATCAAAGACTTTTCTAGTGGCAATTAGCAGCTACAAGCACAGCATAATTACATGTTAGAAAAGTAGCCTGGACCATGTTCTAGGTGTACTTATGATAGGTACTACATTGAATTAAATGTAGAGTTATTGAGAATGAGTTGATGGCTAGAATAAAAAAACAACACCACATAACCCATTAGAAGGAAGTGAACTGGGCAGTTTGGAGCTGACTGAACTCTATAGATACTTAATTTTGAAAAAAAACAAAAAACGATGTGGAAGGATAATGAGTGTTCCACAGCTGAACCATTAGTTTACAGAAATGTTCTAAGCAGGCAGCATTCAACTAATGTTTCTTGAGCAGCTATTATATTCCAGACACTGTTCTTTGGATACTAGATAAATCACATAGCGATCCCGTCATCACGAAGTTTCCACCTAATAGTAGAGGTAAAAGGAAAAAATATGTATATATATATATAATTGACTCAGTGTCATACAAAGCAGATGATAATCAGCCATAGACAGTGCTTGCAAGCACGAAAGGATAGCTTCATGGAGAAGGTGCTACATGCCGGGGGGAGCAATTGACACAAAAAATTGTCATATCAATTGGGAAGCCAAGGTATAGTGATAGTGTGGTGGAAACAGAATCCTGAAACACATTTACCACTATAGGAACAAACAAACAAAACTTTTCAGCAAAATTAACAAATTAACATAAAGGCTTTATAGTTAACATTTCTCTCTTTCCAAAGTGGCTGTGAATGTAGAAATTCTTCAAAACCCTGAATTAGAAATCATTTAGAAAACAAATGGCTCTAAATTAGAAAGCCGGGTGGAAGCGTCAACACTCTCACACATAGGAAGAACCTACTGCACCTGCAGCTCCATGTACGTCACTCATCAGATAGTCTTCTGTTGGGTCTAAAAGGTTATCGTTGGCATTTCATAGTGTCTGCTGTTTGCCAGGTGCTTCATTATACTGTCTCTGATCATTAAAACAGCCGTGAGAAGCAGATGCTACTGATCCCGTTCTAAAGACAGAAAAGGCTGGGTTACGGGGTTGGAGCATCATCCCAGGTGTGTGCACACACACACTCAGGGTGCAGTTTCCATCCTGGTCAGGGCACGTTTGGGAGGCAGTCGATGGTGTTTCTCCACCGCAGGCATGTTCCTCTTTCTCAATCTCTCTCTCTCTCTCTCCCCCTTCCTCTCTCTCTAAAACATCAGTTAACATATGCTTGGGTGTTAATTAGAGTGAGTTGTCTGTGACCCCTTACCTAGTACGCTACCAGGCAGATGGTCTAAGAAGCATACACTATGCCTTCTGCACAATGCTGACTAATGAGCATGTAAACTGATATAACAACTATATTTAAAATGAGAATTGTATGTGTTGCATACAAGAAAATCTTATTGTATGTGTTATGAATGTATTATGTGTATATATGTACTTATGTATGTTCATTCTGAACAATAGTAAATTTTTAAAAAAATAAGCAGCACGTTACTGTAGATAGTGTGGTATAGAAGTTAGGACTATAGGCTACAGAGTGAAGCTGTGTTATTTCATTGTTAATGGTAGCCTGGACCCTAGAGCTCTTTTCTGTAGAATAAGGGTATTGTGAGGTCCACATGAGGCAATGTATAAGTGTGGTTGGCACAGTATTTGACACACCTTAAATACTATTTAGCCCTGGCTGGTGTGGCTCCGTGGATAGAGTGCCAGCCTGCAAATCAAAGGGTCACTCACTGGTTTGATTCCCAGTCAGAGCTCATGCCTGGGTTCTGGGCCAGGTCCCCCAGTTGAGAGCACTCAAGAGGCACTGCACACTGATGTTTCTTTCCCTCTCTTTCTCCCTCCTTTTCCCTATCTCTAGAAATAAATAAATAATTTCTTTAAAAAAATGCTATGTAAATTTTAGTACCCCGGTACCTCAGTACTCATTCTTAATTTGTTCTGGAATTCATGAAAAGTGCCAAAACTGACAAGTACAGAATGATGAAGCATTTTCTCTTGCGGGGTGGCATCATAACTCACACAAGTTCTAGCAAGTGTGATGAGTTCCCAGCAAGTGCGGAGTGCTGGGACATTTTTTCTTGTCAAAATGAGACAAGTACAGGGTTTGACAAGTTCTGGAGCTAACGAATACCAAGGTATGACTATATCATCATTAATAAATCAGCCAGCACTTTTTCCCCCTCAAACTTCTTCTCTCCTACTTATACAAAGACTGCTACACATGAAAGCTAGATGTCATAATCCAAAGGCATCAGTGGACACTGAGATGCTTATCTCGTACCCAAGATGTAAGAAGAATCACACATATCTCCTTCAAGGCAGGGCAAAGGTTGGATATAACTTAGAGGCATGTGTGGATCAATGTAATTAAATACATTTAGGAAGAGTTGGGACAGAGATGCAGAAAAGGCTTCAGGAAGGATGGAAACATTTAGCAATATTGGGTGAAGAAATTCCTCATCAACTGATCATTTGGGCAGCTGCTCATATACAATCTAGCAGGATTGAAAAAGGGGAATTTAAATGATAGCACATTCCATTCTTCACATTTTTTCAGCTATGTAATGCCAGAAGTAGACGATAACGATTCCTAGTATTAGAGTGATTGCGAATGGGATAAAACTAAAATATTGCATCTAAAAGGAGTTTTGAGAACAGGATTTGTCGACTGATTGTGTTTAGATGGAGAGAAAGAAGCGAGGTGATTTCAAAGGTGGCTACCACAGCATTACAAGCATGGTGAGTGCATGAACCAAAGTGCGGATGGGAAAAACAGAACAGGTTTCTCCATTGACTTTGTCCAGGTTTAGACTTTGGATTTAAAGTGACAATATCACATACACTTGAGCTGTCTTTTGAGCCCAAACCAAAAAGGTACATTTTTTTATAGGGATAACTGCATTTAAGTTGAGAAAATAATTTAATTACCTAAGTCCAGATGTGGCTTATGGTCTTGACTATTGATTTAGTAGCTTTGTCGCAGATAAAATTAATTATGCACCAACAGTGGGCCCTGCTAACTAGAGTACATGCCGGGATCAGCTGCATTAATGTAAGTGTAGTGATCTGCCGGAGGAAAATTCTGTGGCCCCACCAGCGTCTGTGCTATGAGATCACATTTCCTGTCTCACACAAGGTGCCATGTTTTCAGCGACAGGTACTTGTAAAACTGAGAATGACTAGGACGGTGAGGGATCTGAATATTATGTCCTGAGACAATCGGTTAAGGAAGAATGGAGCAAATTTGGGGGGGGGGGATATAACAGCAATCTTCAAAATTTTAAGAGGTTGTTACATGGAAGAGAGGAGGGGGGATAAGACTGTTTTTATGGCTGCTTTGGGAAGAATTGGGTAGAAGTTTCAGAGAACCTAAACTTAAAAAAATAAAAATTCCAAACAAGATAAAAAAGCTTCCCATTACTGTGTCCTGAGGAAGATATATGATGCCCATTTGTGTTTTATATGATGTCCTAGGTGACTTATAAAAGTCCATCTGGATTATAAGACACGATAATTCTCTGGGTCATGGGGCCATGAGAAATCACTTTGTAGCAATGGTGTCTTTCAATCTATGGCAATATGCCCATTGCAAGGAACAAAATTTACAAGCTTAAAAATACCAGCAGAACTTTATTCTATATATAATTGTTGAAGTAATGTTAGTTTTAAATTTACCAAATGGTTGTCTCTAAAGTCTTTCCTCAGGGACTGCCCATAACCACAGAGAGTTACTGATGAAGCCGTGTGGGTGCTGTTCCTGGATGCTCGCAGTTTCTGAAACCCCTGAGAGCAGCACACCATTTAGAGTAGCCTCCCAAGGCATCCCGAAGTCTCACTTCAAACACCGCCTTGTCAGAGAGGTCTTCCCTAATGACGCAGTCTAGCCCCGAGTTACTTTCCATTCCTTGATCCTATTTTCTTTCCTGTATATGTAGCACTTGGCACTAACAGAAATTATTTGTGTA